CTCACCCACAACTAAATAAATACTGAATAATACGACCTGTTTTTGTAATACTCATTTGTGCTTGTTATCTGTTTACAATAATGTTTTACCACTGAATACTTCATTGCTTAGTTAATCTTAAGTTAATTTTAAGCCTGCCCATAATGGTATGCATTCAAGTGGCTTTGGCATGCTGCATTTAACTGTATTCTTTTGTACTTCACTGTATCATGTTCAAATTAATAAATAAATTAATTAGGATATTTCTTTCAGAAACACGATCTTGATGTTTGGGAATATCATTTTCTTTTTGCATTTTAAAAAAATTTTGGCAGTAGGGGACCCAAAAAATGCCCTCATTGCTTCGTTCTGCATTTTTCTAGCCCTCCAAGCTTCCAGTCAGAAAAAGAGCAAGTAGTGGCACGCATAATAACCAATGTTAAAATGAAAGATACATCATTTTCACAATTTTAACTTTAGCCCATACCTGGGGTGAAACCAAAAACTTAAGTGCTTCAGCCTGTTTTGTATTGGCGAAAAAGTCTTTTACAAAGGCCCAAATAGTGGAACCTAAAGCCTAGATACTGTATTGCTTACATTCTAGAAGGACCCATATGCAATTTGGATTGACAAGTGCCTCTGTCGAGGAGGACGCCTATTGGTATCTTTTTTTCGTAGTTTTAACCCAGGCCCCGACCTGGGCTAGTACAGATTAAAAACGTTTTGGGTGTTGGAGAATCCGTGGTGTGAATCATTATACAGCAAAACTAATCATATAATGATGGGGCTGGCGGGCATGCTTTAAAAGTAAGGCATTAATTGAATATTGAATGTGGGGACTGAGAAAATCCGTGGGTTTTAATTCAAAGTCTTTAGAAATTTATGTCCCGGAACAAACAAAGAGGGACTTTCTGTTGGACAGGTGGGCCTTTTAAATCCGTGGGAAGCCATCCTCCAACCATTCTGGCAAGTTCACTAATGATTACTTCGGTTGGTACATCGAAAGCGGGTTTTAAGGTCAAGGAAGGTAGTGTATGAGCTGTAGTGGCAGGTGAGTAGTGTACTGCATATTGTAAAAACAGAATAGGGAAATCAGCTTAAAATTTTTTTATTTAGGATGCATTGGTCAGAGGCCTGTCGTAAATCGAGTCGTGGAAAAAAAGTAAATCGGTAAGTGAGGGGGCTTTGGGGCTGTACTGAAATGAAATGAAATGTTAAATATGGTAAAAGGCACCCATTTTGGTAATTTTTTTTATTGTGAACTTAATATGCAAAACAAGTTCTCCCTTTTAGGGGGAATAAATGGGATTGAGGTTCATTTCATAGTTATTTGCACTTCCTGAAATTAAAATATGTATAAATTTAACATTTACTTTCTCCAAAAATAGTCTGGTGTTTTTTGTTAAGCAATTAGTGTTTTTCGTGTACAAACAAACTTACACAGCGCTAAAAAAAAATTAACTAGATCAAAATGTACTTTCTTTAATTGTGTTTTTTTAAAAAGAATTAAATAAAAGCTGATTAAAATTTTCCACTCAAAAATTAATTTAATTTTTTTTGCAAAATAAATTTAATTCTTGACTGTGTTTTGATAAAAATAACTTATAATTGCAAAAATAAATTTATTTACCCTTTTTTTATTTGGAATGGAGGCTACATAAAACCTTAGATATCTGATATTTCAGTTGGAAAGTAATTTATTTTTTAAAAAATTTCTGTATAGGGGGAGGGGTTTTTTTTTTGATTTTGGATAATTTTAAGTATAACTTGGGAAATTCTCCCCCAAATTTTTTCGGGAAAAGAGAGTAAAAACCAACTTTCCAACCCCTCCGCGATTTATAAGTTAGTATTTTTTCTTATAATGTATAAGTACTATACCGTATTGATTTAAACACACAGGAATTAGTAAGTAAATACAACATACAGGCCTTGCATCAACGAACCGGTCATATCCCACCGAGGCAGGGTGACCTAAAAAGAAAAACAAAAGTCTCTCTTTTTAAATTTAGTAATGTATACAGGAAAAGGGGTTACTAGCCCCTTGCTCCCGGCATTTTAGTCGCTTCATACGACACGCATGGCTTCCAGAGGAAGAATTCTGTTCCACTTTCCCACGGAGAACAAGTAAGTACAGTACTATATGTACATAATAGTATCTCGTGTACACTTTCAACACAGTCTTTGACTCCACTGACCATAATTACTCTTCAAAATGCATATCATGAATTAATGATCATCTAAGTAACCTTTGTAAGGACAACTAGGAAAATATGCATATTAAAAGTTAATGGTTTTATTATATTATAAATATGAACCGGCATGTGACTGTCTGATGGCAGAGTGACCATAGTACGTTGCATTTTGATTTGTATGTGTGTTGGAAAATAACCTGTGCAGATAAACTGAATAACTAACACACTTATCAAAGGACAAGTGGAGTTTTGCAAAGCATGTTGTTCACTCTCGGCTGTTTTCATTAACAAACCCATTTTTTCCTGGGATCAACTTTTTTTTTCTTTCCATATTTCTAACAAATTCATCCAATTAAGTTGTAGTGATCATATCCTTACTCTCCTTAATCTATTTCCCTAGAACTATATCTCTTTTATGATAAAATCTCATTCCTTTGATTATACTATACAGTAATGTTATGATATGTTCCAAAGTTAACTGAACCAAAACTGCTATACAGCCACATCAAAAGGAAGTGACAGTAAAAAACTTAGTAATACAACTGGAGGAGGAGGACGAGGAGGAAGAAGAGCGCTCATGAAAAATGACAAGACAGTCTTTAAAGTGTTGATAAAGGATTTGAGGTGTTCTTAGTGGAAATGGACAATACCAGAAAGGCTAGGGAACAGGGTACACTGACAGGTTTTTGGATGACACACACACAAGAGAAGAGGTAAAGAAACTTCTCATGGATCTGGATACATAAAAGGCAATGGGACCTGAGAAGGGGTCACTATGGATTCAGCAAGAGGGAGCAGAAGTTTTGTCTCAACCACTAGACAGGATCTACAAGAAGACATGGGTATATGACACCAGAGATCTGAGAGCAAATGTAGTCCCTATATTTAAGAAAGGAGACAGATATGAAGCACTGAACTACAGATCAGTTTCTTTGACATGCATCCCAAGCAAGGCAATGGACAAGAATTTCAGGAGAGTGGTAGAACACTTGGAGAGAAGTGGTTTTATAAGCAATAATGAAAATTAGACACACATGCAACAGCTGGGGATCTTTAATGTAGATGTTTTGCCATCCAGTGGCTTTATCAATACAAATTCTAGGACATAATTTGAAGAGAGTAGAACTATATACAAAAGATGAGGTAATCAGTCCCTCAGCCTTGGAGTTGGTGTGAAGAGCACCACTGGTGCTCTTCACACTAAATGGCAAAATGTCTACATTAAAGATACCCAGATGTTGCATGTGTGTCTAATTTTCATCTTGTCAGCATTGTATACCATTTATGCACATAAACAATAATAAACGTGAGTTTCAGAGATTGTAAATCTTGTCTTGCCAATCTGTTGGAATTCTATGGCAAAGTAACAGAAACGAGTAAGGAGAGTGAGGGATGGGTGGATTGCATTTTCTTACATTAAGAATTGTTTGTTTAATTCATGTTAAGCACTAAACTCATGTGGATCATTCAGTGCAGGATGTGGTGGAGGCTTGATCTTCCATCTGCTGAACACCAGACAGACACACTTCCTATTTGTACTCGCCTATATGTCCATTACAGTAAGGCATTCGATACTGTACCCCACAAGAGGCTGGGGCAAAAGCTCAAGGTGCAGGCAGGAATAACAGGGAACACACACACTGGTGGGTCAAAGAGTACCTTAGTGGAAAGAAACAGTGATTGTCAGGGAGCTAGTGGGGTTCCACAAGGATAAATATTAGAACCATTACCATTTCTGGTTTATATGAATATTCCAGATTGGATTGAATCAGATGTATCCCTGTTTGCTGATGATGTAAATCTAATGAGAACAAAAACAGATAAGGAAAGGGAAAGCTCCAAATGGAACTGGATAAACTGCAAGATTGGTTGGATAAGTGGTTGCTTGAATTCAATCCTGGCATTTGCAAGACTATGAAGTTTGGCAAAAGGGGCAAGGAAGCTGGACACAGAGTATAGACTTTGGGGACAGAGGTTACAGACTTCACTCTGATACAGGGAAGGAAGTGCTAACCAGGGAGGTGGATAATATTGTGCTAAAGTCAAAGGACTCGTCCAGGATCCGGGGGAGACAAGAGGAGCTAACAGTGATTAGTGAAATTGAAAGAAATTCGAAATATTTCTTTTCATACGCCAAAAACAAGGCAAAAACCACTTCTATTATAGGGGCCCCTGCTCAGACAAGATGGATCCTACACAGATGACAACAAAGAAATGAGTGATATACTGAAATCTCTATATGACTGTGTTCAGCAAGTCACTAATCAGTCTAAAGATAGACAACCCAAACAATTTTTTCATGAATAAGCCTCAAAACCCTGCCAATGTATGCCAATTTCTGACATAATTCTAACTCCACTAGACTTTGAGAAAGCCATCGACAACATGCCCATGCACTCACCCCCAGGCCCAGACTTGTGGAACCGTGTTCATTAAGAACTGCAAGAAACCCCTCTCATGGGCCTAAGTATACTATGGAGAAGAAGCATACACAGGTGAGATTCCACAGTCACTAAAAACAATGGATATAGCCCCACTTCATAAAGGTGGCAGCTGAGAACTACAGACCAATAGCTTTAATGTCCCACATCATAAAAATCTTTGAAAGGGTTCTAAGAAGCAGGATAGCAAACCACTTGGACTCCCAAAAATTGCACAATCCAGGGCAACATGGTTTCAGAGCAGGTTGCTCCTGCCTCCCACAACTATTGGGCCACTATAATATGGTCTTAGATGCACTGGAAAACAAATAGAATGCAGATGTAGTATACACAGATTTTGCGAAAGCTTTTGACAAGTGCGATCATGGTGTAATAGCACATAAAATGCGTGCTAAAGGGATAACTGGCAAAGTAGGCAGATGGATCTTCAACTTTCTAACCAATCGAACACAAACACTAGGGGTAAACAGAGTTAAATTGGAAGCTGCCATAATGAAGAGCTCTGTTCCACAAGGTACAGTACTCGCCCCTATCCTGTTCCTCATTCTCATATCAGACATAGACAGAGATGAAAACTGTATCATCCTTTGCAGACAATACTAGGATCTGCATGAGAGTGTCATCCACTGAGGACATGGCAAATTTCCAAGATGATATAAACCAAGTTTTCCAATGGGTAGCGGAGAACAATATGATGTTCAATGAAGACAAATTCCAACTACTCCGTTATGGAAAATTGGAGGAAATAATAGCTAGGACTGAGTATACTACGAACTCTAATCACACAATAGAGCGGAAAAGTAATGTCCAAAGATCTCGCCTTCAAGGACCACGACAATGCCACTATCACATCTGCAAGGAAACTGATAGGATGGATAATGAGAACATTCATGACAAAAGATGCTAAGCCAGTGATGATCCTCTTTAAATCACTCGTTCTCTCTAGGCTGGAATACTGCTATACATTAACATCCCCATTCAAGGCAGGTGAAATTGCAGATCTAGAGAATGTACAGAGAACCTTTACTGCACGTGTAAGTTCCATCAAACACCTTAACTACTGGGAATGCCTGGAAGCACTTGACTACTCTCCGGAGTGCAGGCGAGAGAGATCATAACCTACACCTGGAAGATTCTGGAGGGACTGGTTCCTAATCTACACACAGAAATCACTCCCTATGAAAGCCAAAGCCTTGGCAGGCAATGCAACATACCCCAGTGAAAAGTAGGGGTGTCACTGGTACACTAAGAGAAAACACAATGAGTGTCCGGGGTCCAAGACTGTTTGACAGCCTCCCACCAGACATAAGGGACATTACCAATAGACCCCTGGTTGTCTTCAAGAGAGAGCTGGACAGATACTTAGTCAGTGCAGGATCAGCCGGGCTGTGGTTCGTACGTTGGACTACATGCAGCCAGCAGTAACAGCCTCGTTAATCAGGCCCTGATCCACCAGGAGGCCTGATCGTGGACCGAGTCACGGGGGTGTTGATCCCCGGAATGCCCTCCAGATGGACTCCATGTAGAGAAAAGCTTAGGAGTGACCATAGTACCTGGTATATCTCCAGAGGCACACATCAGCTGAATTAATTGTGCAGCTAATACTCATCTGCCAAATCATAGAGTAGCCCTCAGAAACCTCAAAACTAAAAGTCATTTCAGCCTCTTTATACAATATACATGTATGTCAGGAAAATCTTGAAGTATGAAGTGCTAGAATGGAATTCACACCTGAAAAAAATAGCATGTTAAGAAACTGGAGAAAGTGCAGAAGTATGTAACAAGGCTTGTTCCAGAGCTAAGGGAGGTACAAGCTACAAGAGGCAAATAACACTGGAAGACAGAAGAACCAGGGGAGTTATGATAATATGTATACAAAATACTTAGAGGAATTAATAGGGCTGACAGGGACAGAATGTTAGAAAGGCGAGAAACAGCACCTTGGGGACACAAATGGAAGCTAAAGGCAGATAAGTCACATGGATGTGACTTATCTGCCTTTTATGCTGATTATGTAAATATTGTCAGTATTTGTTATTGCTGATACTAAACTGTTACATGTAATCACTTCAATAATATACTGTATAATGAATGTACATTTGTTCATTTTACTGCACTGCAAAAGCCTATATATGTACTGTACATGTTACAAATATATTAGCTTATGCATTCCTTATGACAGAGTCTTAACACTAGTAAATTTAAAATGAAGCAATTTTTTTAGTAATGACTAGGTTAGCATCAATATGTAACTCCAACATAATATATTGCCTTGAAAAATAATTTGCTACAAGAAAAAATAATTGTTAAAGGATCTTGATGTTTGTGACTGAATGATTTCAGGAACAGCTTATTACCTCTTACCTAGATATTTACCACAATTTACTGTATAAAATACCTCATGAATAACTACTGATCTTTAAGTTTGACATAATATTCTGAACAAAGTCTAAGTAAAAATTACTTTATTTTGAAATCTAGAAAGCTTTGAGAGTTTCAGGACCCATGTGCCTACATCTTTATTTTCAAAAAGAGCACTTCAAAATACTATTCATATTTAAAATTCAAAATTATATGCTAATATGGTATGTTTCAGGGAGAGAATACAATTTCATCCCAGGTAACAAAACCATAAATAGTAATATCATCATTTAAAAAGACCTCTTTTTAAAGACTTGAGATTTTATACACACATTCTTCCACCTGCACCTCACACACTATACAAAAACTCTTCCCATCTTTTCTTGGAAAATCCACTAATGCAAACATACATATATACTGCACTACGTAATGGCCACATCAACTGTCATATCCCTAACATTTTTATGAGTCACTGAAATATTAAAACAATATTTACCTTTAAGGCACCTGTTAAGCTGAATACTGTACTATCAGAAGCTGGAATAACAAGGCAAACAAAACAACCATTAAAACAATTATCTCTAATATGATCCATCATAAAATGTCTTTATCAGTAGTGAAATTAGTATAACATGTATGTGTTGTGCACAAATTCCTCATACAGTACTAAATACTCTTGATGTAAAAAAAAAAATATATTATAATTAAATTGTGAGAAAAATATTTTCCATGAAATAGAGTATTGTATATCATGTAATTTGGGAAGTGGAGTACTAAATGTGCTTAGGCAGCCAAACAATTAAGGATAAAAGTACAGTGGACCCCCGCATAACGATTACCTCCGAATGTGACCAATTATGTAAGTGTATTTATGTAAGTGCGTTTGTACGTGTATGTTTGGGGGTCTGAAATGGACTAATCTACTTCACAATATTTCTTATGGGAACAAATTCGGTCAGTACTGGCACCTGAACATACTTCTGGAGTGAAAAAATATCGTTAACCGGGGGTCCACTGTAAACAAAAAATGGAGATGGACAAAGACTTTCTCAAGTAAAACTTTCACTGAACCAGATTCTACTTTATAAACTTGATAAAACTAGATCTTTCCTCTAATAATATATCGTTACCATTGTCAGTGTAACCTGGTTTGTTTTACAGATCTGTACAGGAGGGCCCCTGCTTTACAGCGCTTCACTTTACGGCGTTTTGCTAATACATATAGTGATTATCAATTACAGTGGAACTTTGGTTTTTGTTTGCCTTGGTTTTCCTCGAATTCGGTTTTCGACGACTTTTTTTGTCAAAATTTTATCCCAGTTTTCGTTCATCACCTCAGTTTTCGTCAGTCCACCATACTGAACGTGTCTGCCTGCCTGCGCCCACACAAAGCATTCCAGGCATTCTGAATCAGTTTGGCTTCGTTTCTCGAGTATTACCCTGTGCGTTTATCTGAAACATTTCATAATCCATTGTTTTTTGTGCTTGTTTATTGAGTGCAACTGCTAAATAAGCAACCATGGGGCAAAAGAAAGTTCCAAGTGCCAGCCCTTTTGATAAAGAAGGCAAGAAACATGATAGAATTCAAGAAAGAACTTGTAGCAAAGTACGGGGTTGGATGTGAGTGGGCAGGATGTGGAAGAGTTGGACGACCACAGGGAAGAGCTAACCCCTGAAGAGCTGCAACACCTTCAACTGGAACAGTAACATATCACAAATGAGGAAATTGCTTCAGAGGAGGAGGAAGAGGGGAAAAAAGAATATGCCTTCTTCAGTGATTAAGGATGTGTGTGCAAAGTGGAGTGAGTTGCAAAGTTTTGTGGAGAAATATCACCCTAACGAAGCTGTTGCAAGCCAAGCCTGCTACATGTTCAATGACAATGCCTTGTCCCATTTTAGACAAATCTTAAAGAAAGACCAGAAACAGACCTCTCTGGACAGATTTTTTGTGCGACAGGGGTCCAATGCCAGTAAAAGATAGGGACTCGATACCTGAAGTCCTTATGGAGGGGGATTCCCCTTTCAACCAATAACCTCTCCTCCTCCCTCTCCCCTCCTCGCATCTTCCATATGCCAACAAAAGTCTTCAATAAAGGTAAAAGTGATATTAAATGTTCATTTATCCACTTCATTAGCCTTTTATATTTATTTCTCATTGTTTTCTTTATGTAAAACTATAGTTATTCTCTATAAAATGTATTTTTTTTAATACTTTTGGGTATCTGGAATGGATTGATTGATTTACATTATTTCTTATGGGAAATATTACTTCAGATTTTGTCGAATTTGGTTTTCGTCAGACTTTCTGGAACGAATTAATGACGAAAACTAAGGTTCCACTGTATAACCATTCTTCACTTATTCAGATTTCCTACAATAAATATATTCACCATTCACTATAAGGTATTATTTTACGGTAAGTAATATTTTTTTTTTTTTCAACAAGTCGGCCGTCTCCCACCGAGGCAGGGTGACCCAAAAATGAAAGAAAATCCCCAAAAAGAAAATACTTTCATCATTCAACACTTTCACCACACTCACACATTATCACTGTTTTTGCAGAGGTGCTCAGAATACAACAGTTTAGAAGCATACACATATAAAGATACACAACATATCCCTCCAAACTGCCAATATCCCAAACCCCTCCTTTAAAGTGCAGGCATTGTACTTCCCATTTCCAGGACTCAAGTCCGACTATATGAAAATAACCGGTTTCCCTGAATCCCTTCACTAAATATTACCCTGCTCACACTCCAACAGATCGTCAGGTCCCAAGTACCATTCGTCTCCATTCACTATCTAACACGCTCACGCACGCTTGCTGGAAGTCCAAGCCCCTTGCCCACAAAACCTCCTTTACCCCCTCTCTCCAACCCTTTCGAGGATGACCCCTACCCCGCCTTCCTTCCCCTATAGATTTATATGCTTTCCATGTCATTCTACTTTGATCCATTCTCTCTAAATGACCAAACCACCTCAACAACCCCTCTTCTGCCCTCTGACTAATACTTATTAACTCCACACCTTTTCCTAATTTCCACACTCCGAATTTTCTGCATAATATTTACACCACACATTGCCCTTAAACAGGACATCTCCACTGCCTCCAACCGTCTCCTCGCTGCTGCATTTACCACCCAAGCTTCACACCCATATAAGAGTGTTGGTACTACTATACTTTCATACATTCCCTTCTTTGCCTCCATAGATAATGTTTTTTGACTCCACATATACCTCAATGCACCACTCACCTTTTTTTCCCTCATCAATTCTATGATTAACCTCATCCTTCATAAATCCATCCGCCGACACGTCAACTCCCAAGTATCTGAAAACATTCACTTCTTCCATACTCCTCCTCCCCAATTTGATATCCAATTTTTCTTTATCTAAATCATTTGATACCCTCATCCCCTTACTCTTTTCTATGTTCACTTTCAACTTTCTACCTTTACACACATTCCCAAACTCATCCACTAACCTTTGCAATTTTTCTTTAGAATCTCCCATAAGCACAGTATCATCAGCAAAAAGTAACTGTGTCAATTCCCATTTTGAATTTGATTCCCCAAAATTTAATCCCACCCCTCTCCCAAACACCCTAGCATTTACTTCCTTTACAACCCCATCTATAAATATATTAAACAACCATAGTGACATTACACATCCCTGTCTAAGACCTACTTTTACCGGGAAGTAGTCTCCCTCTCTTCTACACACCCTAACCTAAGCCTCACTATCCTCATAAAAACTCTTTACAGCATTTAATAACTTACCACCTATTCCATTTACTTGCAACTTCTGCCACATTGCTCCTCAATCATATGCCTTTTCTAAATCCATAAATGCAATAAAAACTTCCCTACCTTTATCTAAATACTGTTCACATATATGCTTCAATGTAAACACTTGATCTACACATCCCCTACCCACTCTGAAACCTCCTTGCTCATCCGCAATCTTACATTCTGTCTTACCTCTAATTCTTTCAATTATAACCCTACCGTACACTTTTCCTGGTATACTCAGTAAACTTATTCCTCTATAATTTTTACAGTCTCTTTTGTCCCCTTTCCCTTTATATAAAGGGACTATACATGCTCTCCGCCAATCCCTAGATACCTTCCCCTCTTTCATACATTTATTAAACAAAAGTACCAACCACTCCAACACTATATCCCCCCTGCTTTTAACATTTCTGTCATGATCCCATCAGTTCCAGCTGCTTTACCCCTTTCATTCTACGTAATGCCTCACGTACCTCCCCCACACTTACATTCTGCTCTTCTTCACTCCTAAAAGATGGTATACCTCCCTGACCAGTGCATGAAATTACTGCCTCTCTTTCTTCCTTAACATTTAAAAGTTCCTCAAAATATTCTCGCCATCTACCTAATACCTCCATCTCCCCATCTACTAACTCCCCTACTCTGTTTTTAACTGACAAATCCATACTTTCCCTAGGCTTTCTTAACTTGTTTAACTCACTCCAAAATTTTTTCTTATTTTCATTAAAATTTCTTGACAGTGCCTCTCCCACTCTATCATCTGCTCCTCTTATAACACTTTTGCTTTGTAAAAACCTCTCATAAGCTACCTTTTCCTCTTTTATCACACCCTTTACTTCATCATTCCACCAATCACTCCTCTTTCCTCCTGCCCCCACCCTCCTATAACCACAAACTTCTGCCCCACATTCTTATACTGCATTTTTAAAACTATTCCAACCCTCTTCAACCCCCCCACTACTCATCTTTGCCCTAGCCCACCTTTCTGCCAATAGTCGCTTATATCTCACCCAAACTTCCTTCTCCCTTAGTTTATACACTTTCACCTCCCTCTTACTTGTTGTAGCCACCTTCCTCTTTTCCCATCTACCTCTTACTCAAACTGTAGCTAAAACTAAATAATGATCCGATATATCAGTTGCCCCTCTATGAACATGTACATCCTGGAGCCTACCCATCAAACTTTTATCCACCAATACATAATCTAATAAACTACTTTCATTACGTGCTACATCATACCTTGTATATTTATTTATCCTCTTTTTCATAAAATATGTATTACTTATTACCAAATCTCTTTCTACACATAGCTCAATTAAAGGCTCGCCATTTACATTTACCCCTGGCACCCCAAATTTACCTACTACTCCCTCCATAACATTTTTACCCACTTTAGCATTGAAATCCCCAACCACCATTACTCTCACACTTGATTCAAAACTCCCCATGCATTCACTCAACATTTCCCAAAATCTCTCTCTCTCCTCTACACTTCTCTCTTCTCCAGGTGCATACACGCTTATTATAACCCACTTTTCACATCCAATCTTTATTTTACTCAACATAATCCTTGAATTAATACATTTATAGTCCCTCTTTTCCTGCCATAGCTTATCCTTCAACATTATTGCTACTCCTTCTTTAGCTCTAACTCTATTTGAAACCCCTGACCTAATCCCATTTATTCCTCTCCATTGAAACTCTCCCACCCCCTTCAGCTTTGTTTCACTTAACCCTTTCAGGGTC